ACAACCAAAACCGCGGTATTAAGATGGCCGATCCCCAGAACCTGTAAAAAAGTAAGGCGGAGATCCGCAACTATTTTCTGGCTGGGACTGCCACTTACTAACCTTCATCTCCCATTTGGTTGAGACCCCTTGAAAAGAAAAAACAGTGGTGATAATTTCCTTTTGAAACCAACAAGGGGAAAATAAGAACTATTCATTTCAGCAAATGGAAGATAAGTTCCCCGTTCGGTGGAGCTAACCCTGTCAGTAGCGTGTTCACAGGCATTCTTAAGCAACTATTCTTAGGCAAATGGAAGTCATCAACTCACTGGCTGAGTGGATGGCCTAAAATGGTCTTCCCAAAAAGTTTAAAGTTCATGAACTCAGGAAGTGAGATTCTTAAGCAAATGGAAGTCATCGATCCCCGAATCAGTCTTGAAAAGTGTCTCACATGGAGGTTTTGGAGTCCCGCCTGCACCTCTGAGACCAGGTCCTCGTCGTGTGTCAGGGTCACCTGAGGTCAGACCCCGAAGAACGAGTCCGGGACCCCCAAAAATGGGCAGGCAGCGTTTTGTTTTTTTTTTTGGGGGGGGGAGGACGACTCCCCCAAAATGGCCCAGCGGTCTTCCTTTTGGCTTCGCGGAAAAAAACACAAAAAACAACAACAAAACGCCACAAGACACATGTTGGTTTCCCGAAAAAAAGTTGAAAAAACAATAATAACACCCCAAATAACGACAGACCCAAGGAGATCTCCCTGAAAGATGAGGGTTTTTCGGCGGGCTGAAAACGGGTGAAAGCCCACCGTCCAGGAGACAACGAGAGATCCCCAGTTCTTGATGCTCCGTTCGTTACACATGTGGTTCGCTTTGCCAACCAAAGAAATAGAACTGGATGGAACTGGAGGGTCATCTGGGAGTTAGGATGGGAGAAGAGATACTTGCTGTGAGTATACCCTGGCCAATTATCTCAAGGTGTAAAAGGTACCAGCACTTGGTCAGTGCAAGTTGAAGCAACCAGGCCCTGATCGTCTTTGCAAATAAAAAAACAACGAGGTTGTTGTTAAACACTATGGGCGTGTCTTTTTGAGGGAATCGCCGTTTGTTTCATTAGGAAGCCAGAAGGTGGGCATCATTTAGGTGTGGATTCAGGTAACCGACCACTTGTGGTGAGACGAAACTACTAGAACAATGTGAACCAACCGGAAGCGCGGGAGGGATGGAGCGAGGAAAAGCAGAAGTGCAGGCGCCTACAGGTTGCTTGGGTGTTCGGCCCAGTCAGGAGGTGGTCGGCGACCTAAGCTATACCCCGCTTATATCATCCCCTCCCCTCCCTCCCCCCCCAGCCCCCAACGATTATAGGTCCAAGTGATGATAATTTTGTTGTTGGTGGGCTATAAGTCATAGCGCATGTCGCTAACCACCTACTAGTGGCCACCGTCCTTTTGGCACATTTCCGTTGGCATACCTCCCAAATGGATCCATCACCACTTGTGGGAGGGGAACCAACACACTGGTCAATTTGATGGTAGCCCAAAAAGGCCCAGCCGGCAAACCAGCCAACAAACAAACAACGTCAATAAGCAAATTAAACAAACAAATAAACCATGTTGTTTTATCGAAACAAAAGCAAACATGAACTCGCAAACCAATGACCAAACAAACAAACAAACAAACAAACAAACAAACAAACAAACAAACAAACAAACAAACAAACAAACGTACAAACAAACAAACAAACCACAAGTGCAGGAGGGCCCTTGTTAAATAAATAAATATATATGTATATATATATATATATATATATTCGGCGCAGGTGCCGGGAACCTTCGAAGGCCCAGACAGTCTGGAGTCTCCTTCTGACCCTTACAAAAAGGGGTCATTGACCCAATAAAGAAAAAAAACAAAAACACAAGGAGACTCCAGGTCAGATCCTGAGACTCCAGGTATATCACCTGCCAAAACCCCCCGACAAATATATATATATATATATATATATATACATACATATATATATATATATATGTATCTCCCCGACAAATATGTATATATATATAAGACCCCCAGACGATTTGGATTTTACCCATTTTTTGCATGGTCAGAAGGAGACACCAGGTATATTCTTATATATATATATAGAGAGAGAAATACACCCAGACATATATAGAAATGCGTTTTCTCCGTCGCACCTTGTAGAGGTCTCCGTACTCGCTCTGGATGAGGAAGAAGAAGAAATCCTTCAGCTTGTGCGTGGCGTGCGCCACGATCAGCAAGCCCTTCTCCTGGCCATTGGGGAGGGTTCAGGGTAGGTTTGTGGCACTGCCAGTGGGATCCGTCGACTGCTATGTCTCAATAGGGGGGACCCAAAAATCGCGTAAAACAAGAGAAGGTGTTGTTTTTCAACACGAATTTTGTTGCCCAGGTGGCACCACACCTAGGTGCTGGGCCAGTCATTAAAACCAAATTGAGTCATGATCATAGGCTAGGTCCTCCAGTAGAGAGGTCAGAATAAGGGTACCCACTTTTGCAGGACGTCTATTTTAGTAGGGAACCCTGCCCAAAAAGTTGGTAAAAGAGCACTACTGGGAAACCTAGTATGGGTGTTTCTCAACAAAAGGGGGGACCCAAAAGTCGTTTAAGACAAGAAATGGGTTGTTTCTGCTGGAGGGTTCTCTTGCATGGTTGTAACTTGTGGGGCGATCGAGGCACGTTAAGGCAAGGGTTCCTGAGGGCTGAAAGAAACTTGCTTAGAGGTTTACTTTTGAGATACGCTACTAAATGGTACTTCGGGTAAATGGGTAATAACCATGGTAACCATCACGAAACCTATGTTTACATAAGTCTCCGGGAGAGTTACTTATAACCAATGGCTTCAAATGGTACTTGGATGTTCGTTGGAAAGTTAGTAATGTTGTGGGGTAAGTCTCTTGCACTTTGCAAGTCAACTAGCTTGGCTGTCCGTTTTCTGATCCCCCTTTTAAAAGTCGAAAACTGTAGTGGGTTAAATGGACAACTACCACTCAACATTCTAAACAGCTAGAAACCTAAGGAACCGGATGGCTGGGAACCACCAAGGTTTGGGGTGAGACCAGCCCAAATACATCCATACCAAAATTCAAGCGGCCTGGAAGCAAATGCTCCATGAGCAATGACCAGTGGTTGGAAACCCAACCACTGACTGGGAAAAGTTGCCCATGCTCATTTTGGGGGCCGAACGGAATATTGATCAACCCAAGTGGCCTGTTGAACAGGCTTGGATCACGAAACGGCGAAAATGTGCTTGGCAAACAGATCCGACCGTAATATTTGGGAACAAGCAAACGAACAACAAGGAGGAAGTAATCAACCTGTGCGTGGCCACGAATAGCGGCAGCTATGACACATCGATTTGCCGTCATAACGCGTGAGAGCACCCTTCTGCACTTCACTCCACCTTCCTTGTAGTCCTTTCTATTCTCCCCTCCACCCCCTCCACCCCCTCCTCCCCCTCCACCCCCTCCTCCCCCTCCACCCCCTCCACCCCTCCACCTCCACCCCTCCACCACCCCTCCACCCCTCCATCCTGGTCTTGCCAGCCCAAACAGCCGCCAACCCAAAGCAACACCCCGCTTTGCGCCCCGCAGATTTTTTTTTCGCTGCCCGTTTCTCCGTCCTGGGCCATTTCCAAGCGCCTGGGGATGGCGCAGACCACGTCCGGGTGGCCCTGCTTCTTGTAGACGAGGCAGTTCTCACAGCACACCAACACGCCTCTCGTCCGATCCATCGATCCAGAGAAGCGATCCCGTTCAAAACGAAGCCAGCGGGATCCGTCGCTCGGATTGTTTTGTTTTTTTTGCAAAATGAGTTTCGTGGCCCAGGTGGCAAAGCACCTAGGTACTGGGATGTCATTAACACCAAATTGAGTCATGACCATAGGCTATGGGAGAATGTGTCGATTCTGGTGGCACCTTCTATCACTTTGACGCCTTCCACCCCTGTGAGCCCAACAACCATCCTTAAACGGTAGAGTTGACCCAGGCCGTTTTTGCAGGGGTGAATTCGGAACACCCATTAGTTGGCAAAAAGCTAAAGTCCTAACATCCCTTGGCAACATGCACCAAGGTTCCCCTTGTCCTAGGAAGCCACTTACATGGCACGTGAAGGCAGATGGTGTTTAGGTATGCGGTGAGCCAATGCCGCCTGGACAACAACCTCTGGCGTCTCCCTTTCACCGAGTTCATGAACCTCTGCCCGTTCTCCGATCCCCCGCGAAAAGTGACTCACTTTTAGTCGGTTTGATGGAAACCACTAAACACTAAGAATATCCAAAAAGGCTAAGGAACCGGATGGCTGGGCTTGCCACCAAGTGAAGGTAAACCACCTCTGGCGTCCCTTGAGTTCATGCACGTGACATCCTCAATTTGTTATCTTCTAAACATTCTTCCTGGAGTCTCCTTCTGACCCTTAAATGGGGTTACCCAAAGTAATGGGGTTGACTCATTTTAAAAGGGTCAGAAGGAGACTCCAGGTATCACTTGGGCCGAAACCCGTGGACAAATTCGAGTTCCGATGCATGCCCACCGAGGGGTTCCCAGATTTCGGGAACCTGTCCCTTTGGACGGTACCACATATTGGGTTTGGTTCAAAGGAAAACCAAGAGGAACACCGATACATTCACCGTTGAGAGTGCTTTGTTTTAGGTGTGGACAAGTCCGGACCTGCTGTAGACCTCGCGATTTGGTACCCTTTCCGGGGTGGTTTTCTTTCGTATAGGGGTGTCCCTGGCTTTGGGATTCATCACTTTGGGAGGGGAAAGCCCCCATATGGGTATGGGTCAAAGTTAAACCACCAAATGACGGCGGGTGTTAGGCAATTTTCCATTTACCAGGGTGCCAGGGGGGGTATACCTATTCTTGACCCACATATGAGGGTGGCTCAAAATTCAAGAGCTAGGGTTACGCAGGTTTTAGTCTTTGGTAAATGTGCCATATACATGTTTCTGAGCCACAACCATATGGAAAAATGGAGGCTTCGCAACCCTGGGTCCACATTACTTAGGTGTTTGTTGCCAAGCAAGTTGCTTGATAACCTGCTTATAAGGTCCCCCGTCCAGTATGCGTTTTAACCTAGCGGGTGATACCCCAGGCGGCCCACCTCTTTCAAAGCGCCGGTCCCTTTTTGGAAACCTCGCCATTGCCGTTCGGGCAAACAAACCATGCCTTGGGCAAATCTACCTTCGGGTGGGTTCTTAAGTTGTCTGCTGTGGCAAATAGAACCGCGAAGAGAACAAAGGAGATCTGAGCAACCTCAAATGGTTCCCACACCGAGAATAAGGATCCTAGGCTTGTTGATTGGGGGATGTCCGCTTCTAGTGGGAATCCGGATCACGTTTGTGGTTGCCAATTTCCTAGTAGGATGGGTTTCTTCCGAGGTTCAAAGCCACATTTCCGCTGTACAAGGCTGAATGATTCAAGGCTGAATGATTCCTACCCTGATTGTCCTTTGCTGAACATATCTTATTTGTGTCAGTTTTCTCAGTTGCTTTCTGCTCCCCTGCTAAAAGTTTAACTTTTAGCGGTTTAGTGGACACCCCATATGGTTTACAAAAAGTTAAAGTCCTAACATCCCTTGGCAAAACGCTTAAAAGATAAGACACCCGGTAACCATTCAAAACACCCACCCTCGGCTTCAGTCACAACCATTAAAACCATGGCTAGCGTCACAACCAAAGTTTTCTGGAACTCGCCACCCCCATTCTTCTCTGGCAGTGGGTCAAAAATAGGTGCCCAAAATGGCTTGCCCTGGTAAATGGCAACATAGACTAAAACCTGCGTTCCAATTCCTGGTAGTTTCAGTTTGACCCATACCCATATGCCTCTGTCTCCATTTAGCAGGGATACATTTTGGGTACCTATTTTGGACCCACATATTGGAAACCATGAAAGTTTCAAATCCAAAGAGTTCCTTCTGGCCGCGGCGCATTTTGAGCCATCTAGCCCCTTAGGCTGGGAATTCGAACCCAGCCGCTCGCCCGCCTGAGGGCCCGTCCACGCCGCCGGGCACCGCGATCAGGGCGTGGGCGGAGTGGTCCACCGCGTCGGCGAACTTCCGCGTCACCTGAGGATGGAGCCCTGGAGTCACCATGACCCGTGGAAAAATGGTTGGTCCTTACCCAAAAAATGGGGGTCATTGACACCCATTTTTAAAGGGTCAGAAGGAGACTCCAGGTGGATATTTTTCAAGTCGCAAAGCCATACTAATTCCAAGGTTGAAGCTACCATCGCTTCAGCAAATGGAAGTAAAGAATCAATCCGCATGGCAAACCTTGAGTTACTTCACTGAATGTTAACCCCGGATTAAGCAGAACCCCTGGTTGATTTTCATCGGGGGGTGTCCCCTGTTAGTGGGAATTCGGACCACTTTTGGAGGGAACACCCCCGCTAATAGTGGGACGGGTTTATTCATCCTGGGTCAACATTGGGTTGTTCTAGGGCTACCTTCCCCATTCTTTCCAGGGATTCAGGCCATCAAAAACCCAGGTGTTCCTCTTGGTTTTCCTTTGAACCAAACCCAATATGTGGCACCGTCCAAACGAGACAGGTTCCCGAAATCTGGGAACCCCTCGGTGGGCATGAGTCGGGACTCGAATTTGTCCACAGGTTTCGGCCCAAGTGATACCTGGAGTCTCCTTCTGACCCTTTTAAAATGAGTCGATAACCCCATTACTTTGGGTAATGACCAACCATTGTTTAAGGGTCAGAAGGAGACTCCAGGTATAATGTTTAGAAGATAACACATCGAGGATGTCACGTGAATAAACTCAGTTGGCCATGGGTCAAAATCCGAATCGTACCCCCAGTGAACATCCCAATCCAACCACTAAAATCGGTTCTAATGGTACCGTTGGTTTTGACCCACGGCCGGATGTTCGTTTCGCCAAGCTACCCTTCCTCCTAACATGGCACCTGTGGGAGGATACCTGGAAGATCAGGCTCCTCTTGGAGGGACTCTCTGTCAGGTGCCATGTTAGTGGGAGAGAGGGTAGGTGGTTAGACACCTGGGTTGTAACCCAATGATAGGTGTTCCGCCGGACGAGTTCCCATGTGTGTTCCTCAGGCCGTAGCGGCAAAGTGCTGTGGGCATCCTTGCAGAGCCTTTTGGGATGGGCTGAGCGGTTTTCCCCGCTCGCATCTTGGATGTTCGATTCGCCAAGCTAGGTGGTTAGACACCTGGGTTACTCACGAACTACAAGGTCCACTGAACGGGGCACTTATAAGCTAGGTGACCAACTTGGCCGAACATTCAAGTAGGTGTTCCTATGTTGAAGAGTGCCCACCAGAGATAATGTGTGCTAGTGGTCGGATTTTCCGCTTTTCCGAGGCGCGTGGTTCAGTCCCAAGTCCATCTCATAGAGCGTCAGCATCTTCTGCGGGGGCTCCGCGTGAGGATCTTTGTCCACCTGCGAGAGGGGTTGAAGGCGAGCATTCCTTGGAGTTGGAATCCACTTGTTGGTGAATTGTTTAAGGGAAACAAAAAGCAGACCAGAAGAAACTTATAGTGGTGTTTTTTCCCGAGTTGGCACCCTCTTTTTGGTGGTTTCCAAGGGACACCAAAAAGGAGAACCTCTTTGGAGTTGGAATCCCCTTGTTGGTGTTTTTTTTTTAAGGGAAACGAAAAGGAGAACCACCATGTGTTGTTCATGTTGTGTTATGTTATGTTGTTTGGCTTTATGTGTGCTCTTTCTTTTATTTTATTTTGGTTTGTTTGGGGGGTCCCCTAAACAAAGACACTCTCATATTAAAGAACCAACAAACAGTGATGTTCAAAACTAAACCCTAAGCAAATGAAATTGTATAAACGTTCCTGTCCAAAGCTTCTTTTGAGAGAAAGATCGATGGATTCCACTGGTGAATGAGTAGAATCAAACTGGTGATGTGCTAGCAACCCAAGTTATAACCCGCTTATGAGTTTTTTGTTCACAACCCTGCCACGGTTCCATTCAGCTTGGCTGTGGAAAATCATGCTTTTGGTGATACCAACCTGGGTTCATATCACAGTGGCTTTAAAAAACCACTGTCCGGGTTGTTCCAAGCCCCCCCCTGAGAAAAAAGGTTGTTCGACCTTTTGCAGGTTTGATGGAACGGCCGCCATGTCTTTCCAGAAGGTCCAAAAGGCGGTCACACCCAGGATTTGACATGTCCAAAGATGCAACTACGCATCTGAAACAAACTTGTAAATAAACAACATGCGATTAGACATTTAGCAGTAAGCGCAGTTATGTGATTTGCAAACGACACTATTTATTGAAGCAATCATTGGTATAATAAACGTTGATGAAAAAGAAGAAGATTACCTGACATGAGAGAAAATGCATGTTTGAAAGCAGCCATGTTCCAATCCTGCACCAGAAGATGGTTTGCCCCAGTCTTCAAATCGGGCTCTACGCCACCAACTCGGGTGCAGGCTTGTGTCCGGTGGTTTTTCTGTCCATCTACAGCATCACGCACTTCCTGAATGGATTGCCCAAAGTCCCAACTCTTTAGTTACCACTACAATGGTCCACGCCCAAGTTCAAAGTCCGAAACGGAACTCAGGAAGAAAAAACAAAACAAAAAACATGTTCCCCCTCCCCCAGTTGTTTTTCTCCGTCGCCTCCTCATAGCTGAGCTCGATGCTGGCGAAGAGCGGGTTCTCAAATCCCACGTCCATGCCCACCATGGCGTAGACCAAGGTATAGCCTCAGAGAACGACTCGGACTGAGCGACTCGCCGCCTAACAGCTTCATCTACTCCAAGCGGTCTGGAGGACATGTATAAAATCGGGACCCCCCAAAAAAAACAAATGCTGCAACAATCCGGACGTGTAAACATGAAGACGTGTAATTAACCGGTCTTGAAGAATCGGTTCGATTCCCTGCAGTTTTCCCTGAAAGCCAACCCAAAAAGGGTACCAACTCCAAAACAAAAGACATGTGTCGATTCATTCACGTCCATTTGCTTTTTCGCCCCCTGTTTCCCTCTAAACTTTTTTTGTTCATTGCCTCTTCTACATTGACCAACAAAGGGCAACCTTCCGCCCAGTGAGTCTTGGACACCCTCCCCCCCCCCTCCCTAACAGGTTGTCTCCTTCCATTTGGTTAAAGCCCCAGGAAAAAATATAAAAATATTCCGAGTAGTGATGAATTCCTTTTTAAACCCAACCAGGAAAAAATATTCATTTCAGCAAATGGAGGACTCCAAATTCGGCAACCTCCAGCCCAGCGGCCCAGTGACCTCCCCCCCCCCCCCCCCGCTTCAGCCAACCACCGGCCGCGGGGCTCTTGTGTGCCTCCAGCGGGGACGAGATCGTGAGCCGCGCCGCGGAGTCGCGGTTCAGAATGTAGACCTCGCGCCCAAAAAATATCGCCGGGGAAAAACCCGAAAAAACTCGGCCCGCGGCGGGAAAAACCGCGTCGCTTCTTGGCTTCTCTTTTTTTTTTAATGGGGGTGCCCTCATTTTGAGACAACCCCTTATGTGTTCTGGGATCGACCGGCCTTGAAGTCCCTTAGTTTCAGGATATGTGTTTGTTTCGCTTTCTTGGTCAGTTGGTACCCCCCCTTTTCTGGCGGGTTTTCAAGGGAAATCAAAAGGAAACAACCTTTGAGGGGGGTCCAACCTAACCTGTGGATCGACCCATGTGTTTTGCTTGAGCCATCAGGTCATTTAAGAGCCATGGGGCCTTTGGCGAGACATTTTGTCCAACTCCCCGCCCAACTTGGGATGTCTTGGGAGTGCCGTTGTTCAGGGTATCTTCTAGTAGCTGTTCTTTTGTTTAAAGGGGAACCAACAAGAAAAACGAAGAAGAAAAAAACACAAGAACCCTCAATGGCTGTCACATGGCTTCTTGTAAGTGACTTGCGCAATTTCGGGGGGCCCGTTTACAGTCATTGGGAGGTCCTGGTATATGGGGCTGTTGTTTGAGATTAAAGAGGGAAAGCTGGGTGAATCCTCTTTTTGGAGGGCGCCCTGGGCGGGGTTGTCACTAAAGGAGAGACCAAGTACCCAACATACGTGTCGCCCACAAGGTCTTATGCTGGCAGGAAAAGGGTTCTTAGGGAAATAACCAGGAAAAGTCGCCGTGCTCCATGAAGCGGTTATGGAGCATGGAGCTGGGGGTGGGGCCTGGGGAACAACGGAAGTGCGCTTTTGCTGTGCCTGCCACGCTTTTTGGAGGTCTCGGGCAACAGGTGCGTTTTGGCCGACCAGGTACCTTCAACCAACAAATGCGGCCCACGAAAGGAGAGGCCTTGCGACCCTGCGATACCCAAACGGTTTCGGCAACTGCACGTGGGATGCCTCCATGTCCAACAAACGGAGCGCGGGAGTGTGTTTGATGAAAAAACTCTGTTCGGGTTGTTTCAAAGGGAAGCTACCCAGTTTGGGTTGCCCCGAAAAGATCGTATTTGGGCATGATTTCCCTAAGCATCCTGACGCCAAAATCATAAAAAAATCCTGGACTTGTAAGGGACTGAAGACCAAGCCCTGGTTGATTCTGATCGGGGGTGTCCAATTCGTGAAGAGGGGGGTTCAATCCACTTTTGAAGGGGCACCCCCGTATTAGGAAAGGTTGCTTAATCCAGTACCCATCCCAACATGTTCAATATCACCCACTAATTGCGTTCCGGAAACCATATCATTTTCGGAGGCGTTGGCACGCCTTTTCTTTTTGGGGAAGCTTGGTGGTAAAGGCAGGTTGCTTGAACCATCGTCTTCAATCAGGTTGAACAAATGAGTGACACTCAAAACCTGCTCCGAAAACGGCCCCAAAACCATGTCTGGGTCTGTCGTTTTGGAGGGTGCCCGCTTTAAAGGGAAACCAAAAGGAAACCCGAAACCCATTGTTTGGGTCCAATTGAAATGAGACACACCCACCTGTCTCTCCACAAGAGGGCATGGGATTTGCTTGTGAACCCCCTGCTAGATGAGCTATTCGCCCAATCTACCGGGAACCTTTATAGCCTTGAATCGGTGAATCAGCACGCCTTGGGTATGTGTCTAAAAAAAGCCCTGCAAAGATGGTGGTTTTCCTTGTTCGGGGCTGTCTTCAGATCCCTTGCAAAAAGTTTGACTTGTGGGTTGAATGGAAACACCCGCTAAACTTAAAAGCCGAAGGGGATGGCTGGGAACCACTAGTGTCTCCAGGAAAAGGTGACCTTTTGCCTCAAAAAGCACGCACAGCCACAAGATAGGCAGCATGCAGTCCACCTCCGGACCCCCCGAAAACAAACCTGACCTTTGCGGGGGTGACCCCCCTCAGTTGTTCAGTGACCCTGGCAAAAGAAGGGAACCCTTTTTTGGGGCTTGGACCATTTTAGTGGGGCAGCCACCAAAAGAAAGGGAAAAAGAATTGGTGCCACTGAACAACATAGCCCCCTTTTAGGTTCCTTGATTGATCCCAACTTAGCTCCGCCTTCTGCGCCACTTCGGGTTGCTCCCAGCCCCCCCGGAACGAGGAAAGGGTCCATCACCTTTTGCAGCCGTGGAAAAGGTCGAAGGTCTACCCCTCCAAATACCAGCCTTTTCAAGTTTTCAAGGGTACCTTTTAAGAAAACAAACAGGTTTTCCGCAAACACCTCCTTTTCTGTAGAGGGTTGACATGATACCCTGAAAAACAAAATGAATAATAGTAATAATAATAATAATAATAATAATAATAATAATAATAATCATAATAATCATAATGATAATAAGAAATGGAAAAAGTAATACTAATAAAACACAACAACAACACGTGTCTTTTTTTGGAGTGCTTTTTGGGGGCTTTTTGGTTTTCAGGTCCCCCAGACCCGTCTCCCGCTCGCTGGGCGCGTGTGCGAACTTCTGCTTCTCGATGGCGCCGATCATCACCGCCCCTCGAGGCGCGCGTCGATTTGACCTATCCACCCCATCCACACAAAATGGGCTGGCAAAAAAAACTGACCTGTTTTTTTTTGCAGACCCCCAGTAAAAATGAACAGAACCAAACAACTACAAAACCAAACAACATGTGGATGGACCTACTGTGGATGGACGAAATCCGTTTTCGCACCACCAAGGAAACCCTGCAATAGGTTCCCCTGTAAATGCCAGCAAACAATGGTTTCAACCATGCTTTCAGAGTGGTGCAGGATTTCGTCCATCCACAGTATCCACCCCATCCACAGCACTCAAAGCTTTCAGCTGGGGAGAAGCAACGGGTACACCCAACTGGACTTGGTTGACGTTGGGTTTGGGGAGCAACCATTCTCAAATTTTGGCAGCCAAGTGGATTGGGATTTCAACCACTAAACCACAATAAGCAAACATGTAAAAACATGTTTCCCAACAACAACCAAGTATTTAAGGCCGCGGGTCAAAACCCGGTGATGTTGACCCCATATGGCTGTGGCTCAAAAAAATGGAATTCCAAAATCAACCCTGGCAAGCGGAAACATGGACCAAAACCTGCGGTTTGCCCCTCCGGTTTAATTTTGGGCCACACCCATATTAATCAACCAACCTGTTTATTAATAGGGGGGTGCTTTTCCCTGGATTTGGTGGGAAATCAGACCACTTTCGGAGGGGAACACACCCCTACTAATGAACTGGGGTTGGTGAATTCGGGGTCAGCACTACCCCCAGTGAACATCCCAACCCCCACCAAAACAGGTTCTAAAATTTGTGCACCGAAAACCCCAAAATGGCCATTGGTTTTGAACCATAGCCATTTGATCGATCCCCGCGGTGAGAAGCCCAGTGAATTTTGTCCGGACACGGCATGGTCTCAAAATGAGGGGCTCGCCAAGTGGATGAGTTTTCGGTGACCATGTCCAAACACCACGCTCGAATTTTGTTGGCTCCTAACCTTGGTACCTGAGGAGGTACTTTAACCGTTTTTACCTCCAAGAACCATTCAACCTAAACGGAAGGCCCAGATGCCAGTGGACGTTGTCCAGCGGAAAAAAGGGCGCCACCTTGTTTGGCTGGGTTCAAAGGGAAACCCTGTCCAACAAATGAAAAACAAAATACAAATCCGCTGGGCAACTGGGTAAGTTTAATTGTTTGGGAGAAGGTTCGGGTTCTAACCGGGGACCAACCTGGCAGTGGTGGTTGCTTGCTGGGTTTAACCCCGCAGACTGGTTGTGAACTGCTTGATCCTCAGCCCCAACGACGAACGTGTTGATCATGCTCTTCCCCGCTTTAAACGGCAAACAATGTTTCTGGACCGCGCCGTTCCCCCTTTTCGCACCGGAAATGAATATGCGAAGAAACTGGTGACTAATATATTGGCCGTTCACTCAACAGGCAAAGGCATCCGAGCAGTGCTGTGCATGTACGCGGACTGCAATAAACGTGGGGCGTCCAAAACTACAGGGAAAATGAAGTCAAATGGCCCCCCACAACAGCCCTACTGCACCATTTGATAGCCGCTACGGTTTCCTGAGTCATGCTTCCAAACTCTTCGTTTACCACTTAAATGGTCCCGTCCCCTTAACGAAACAAAAGCACAAGCACCGCCGAACATGAGTATTTTCAAAATTGACATTTGGGTGTCTCAAAAAATAGGCGACCCAACATGGTGGTTTGTTTCAGCCCAAAGAAAACGCCCTCAGACGGGGCCCTCAGAGTCTCAACCGGCTTAGGATCTGAATATTTGACATCTCTACTCTTGGTATGGTAGCAAAAAACTTTGTTTTTTGCAGACCCCCAGTAAAAATGAACAGAACCAAAAAACTAAAAGACCAAAAACATGCCAAGAACAGTGAAGTATTTAATCCCATGAAAAAGGGAAGTCATGATCAAAACCTGGTATTCTGATACCAAATTCGGATACCTGCTCCAGAACGGCTCTCTCCCAGCTAACCCATTTATTGGGATGATCCCTAACCTTCATCTACCCGGGTGTTGAGCAGGGGGCTCACACGTTTTCATGCTGCTTCATATTCAGTCTATCCTGAAACATAGATTCGTTTTGGAGACCCCGGATAGCATCATAGTAGGAAACCCGGGCTTCCTTGATTCCCCATTTATTCTGCCATTTGCCTAAGTTCCCCAACCAAAAAAACATGTTCTGAAGCAGATAGACGTTTTGCTACATGTTTAATTAATTATGATTATGATTATTATTATGCTTATTATTATTATGTTTTGTTGTTTTTTTTTCCAGTTTCTTAAGCCCCGCTTTCGGGTTTTGAGCCAGCGGCGCGTTCAACCCCGTCTCCGTCTCCGATGAAAAGAAACACCCCAACGTCTCCCTCCCTCCCGCGCGCGCGCGCGCGCCCCGTCTCCGTCTCCGGGCTCCCGGCGGCCCTTGGGGTCCACGGCCAGGTACTGCCCGGGCCTCGGAACTGGAAGTGGGGTGCGCCCGGTTTGACCGAGCCGCGAAAGGTCGAAAAGGTGGGGGTTAAATGGAGAAACGACCAAACCAGGGCGTTTTTAAGTTGAGCCAAATGGGCATGGCGCAAAATTTAGCCAGGACGTGGGAAGGGGTAAAAATTGAACCACCAGAATATGGGGGGGGGGGGAGAAAACAAGACTGGGCTGCCCGTTTTAACCGAGCCCCTGCTAAAAGTCGAACACTTTGAGTGAAATACCGAAACTACCACGAAAAAACTAGAAAGATCTAAAAAGCTGCGGAACCGGATGGCTGGGAGCCATTAAGGGGTATAGCTCAGAATTAGTCACCACCAGGATATGGGAATCGGCAAAAATTGAACCACCCGGAATATGGCTGTGGCAGGTTTTAGTTGATGTTTCCATTTACCAGGGCAACCCTTTTTGGGGTTACCTATTTTGTCCCCGCACCCAAATCCGGAGGATGTCAATGGCTGAACATCCAAGTAGGATTCAAATACTGTGGTAGTAAAGGGCAAAGATGTCCAACGTACCAAACGTTGACCCATGTAGCACGGCCGTTGAAGCACATCAAAACAGGTGTCTAATATCCGCCTTTCTTCCTTGCAAATTCAGTGGGAAAAGAGCGGACCAAGGAAAACACGAACATGAACAGGAACACAAGGGAAGAAGAACGCTCCAAAAGAAACAGCTGGCTTCAAATGTAGAGCTCACAAACGGGTATGAATCTTAATTGCCCCCCCTTGGGAACTGATGTCTTTCGAGGGTGTTCCCCATGGAACATCCTCTTAAATGGCTCTGTTCGCTGACTGGGTGCGAAATAGGCAGCCTGGAAAAAAGGGAACATCACAAATTGTGGTACCCTTTCTCAGTGGCGAGTTAATCACTTGCCAAAAGTTAAACTGTTGTGGGATATATATATATATGTACATATGTGCATGTATCATTAATCCCTGCAAACCGGTAAACATCTTAGAGTCTAAGGGCATGGCAAGGAACTTTGCTTGCCGTCTGACTGGGCTCCCCAGCACGATCCGGCGGCAGCCCGTCTTGCCGTAAGTCTCTTGGTGCACTTTCTCGAACCTCAAATGCGAGAATGCTAGACGGGTGTGCGTTGCAGGGAACCCCAACTTAGTCATAATCAAAACCTGGTATTGACTAGGTCCTCCAGTAGAGAGGTTAGAATAAGCGTGCCCTTTTACTGTAGTCTATTTTAGTAGTGGAACCCTCCCAAAAAAATCTCATCAAAGGGCACTACTGGGGGACCTAGTTGAAATCGTCTACCCAGAAACATGTAAAGAGCAAAGTCGACAGCACCCACCTGAGATCCAAGTACCAAATTATTATGTCGTTGGCCATCGATCTGACGAGTGGACCATAGCAGTCCTTGCCGGGAAAAAAGCTTCAACCAAGTCCCATAGGTGTCCTTTTAGGGGCAATAGATGGCCCTGGTAAATGAGTAAATCACCAGGTAGACCAGGGCCACCTATTTTTCTAATAAAACAACCAACAAGGACGCCTATGCCAAGTCCGTCCCTCAAAGATTCATTGCAATTCTTGAGCATCAACGGATCTGTTTGACTGTGTTTGCCCAGCTTGAAAAGAGCGGCAACAATGCAAATGCTTCGAGCACGCATGGGATGTCCGTTTGGTTTCCCTTAAGCAAAGGTGAAAAGGGTAGCCTCAACACAAACTCACACACAGACCCAGACACGCACAATGCTTTAGCTTCTCTTCAAGGAAACTGGGCTCGGGGCAAGGTTTGTTAAGTAACCTTCGGTAGAGCTATTGTGGGGGCTTTAATTAGCCATTGGGTGGGCCTGGGGACAGAGAGGTTTTCCAATTTGTTCAGATCCCGCCCAAATTTGCGTACGTGCGTGTTTTAAGGGCACCCGTTTTGGGGTGGTTTTGGATCGGGAAGCCAACGAGAAAACCAGCATGTTCTGGGGTCGCCTCAAAAATTCGGGTATTTCAGGGCAGACAAAATCCGGAACAGACTCTGCGCCTGAGATTTCTGGTGTTTTTCGGGTTGGGCAAAGTTGAGCCACAGTCCAAACGCGGGTAGATGAAGGTTCGTAAAGGATAGTCCCAACAGAAATGGTGCTGACCGCGCTGTGCGGGATCGCAACCGCAAGCCCTGCGAGGCTGCAAAATCAAGTAGTTTGCCGTCTTTGCGTGCTGCCCCATTTTCTTCAACCCCAGTTTAATAGGGGGGTGTCCCTGGGGGGAAATGTGGGGAATCAGACCACTGTTGGAGGGGCCAAAAACCACCCCCCAAATGCTAAACTAGGGTTGACTAATATGGGGCCAACACTACTTGTTTCAAGGACTTCTGGCTTTCCATGCCGGGGCTTTCTGTTTTTCTGCTCGTGAGCCACTACTTGGTCAATTTTCAGGATACCACAAACAGGCTTGAAACATGGGTGTGGATTTATCAGGGGATCCTCTGGTGGACATCAATTAGCTTTTAGATAGGGAATCATGTCCACCAAACACGGTTCAGGTGGCTCCAGTCCCGGCTCTCAAATTTCAAATCAGCATATTCCGCCCCTACCACCCTTTCGGGGTTTAAACAAAAAACGTGGTGGGCAACCTGTGGTTCAATTTGCTTACTTGAGAAACAAGTCTTCCTTTCAGCAAACGGAAGCCATCTATGTTTTGAGTGGTGCAATCGATATGTCCAGTAGTGAAATCATTCCCTTTAAAACCGACAAGGGAAAAAATGAGAAACAAGTCTTCCTTTCAGCAAACGGAAGCCATCTATGTTTTGAGTGGTGCAATCGATTCCCTTTAAAACCAACAAGGGAAAAAAGAGAAACAAGTCTTCCTTTCAGCAAACGGAAGTCATCTATATTTTGAGTGGTCAAATCGGCTCCCATTAAAACCAACAAGGAAAAAATGAGAAACAAGTCTTCCTTTCAGCAAACGGAAGCCATCTAGATTTTGAGTGGTGCAATCGATTCCCTTTAAACCGACAAGGGAAAAAATGAGAAACAAGTCTTCCTTTCAGCAAACGGAAGCCATCTATGTTTTGAGTGGTGCAATCGATTCCCTTTAAAACCAACAAGGGAAAAAAGAGAAACAAGTCTTCCTTTCAGCAAACGGAAGTCATCTATATTTTGAGTGGTCAAATCGGCTCCCATTAAAACCAACAAGGAAAAAATGAGAAACAAGTCTTCCTTTCAGCAAACGGAAGCCATCTATATCTTGAGTGGTGCAATCGATTCCCGTTAAAACCAACAACGGAAAAAATGAGAAACAAGTCTTCCTTTCAGCAAACGGAAGCCATCCATATTTTGAGTGGTGAAATCGATTTCCTTTAAAACCAGCAAGAAAAAACGAGAAGCCATCTTCGTTTCAGCAAACAGACGCCATCTATATCTTGAATGCAAACCCATGGCCGGCGGACTTCACAAATCCACCTCCCCCTCTTGGCAAAAACATATCTCGGGGCCCTACTTAAAGGGGCGATCGGGTACTTAACAAGTGGTTAGTCCCGGTGACCCACAAAAGCCATGGTTTACAAGTCTAAGTGGGTTATCTTACCAGGCTTACTAACCACTTACCGAATCGATCGCCCCTTCAAGCACCGCCTAGGCCCGAGACTCCGCCGACTCCGCGACACCCTGAGGCGTCGGCATGTTCTTGGTGCCGTCATACTCCAGGATCACTATCCTCCCCGAGTCAGAAGCCACCACCTAGCAACGCGCCACGCGGAGAGTTGAGATCCAGACCTGTATGGAATCTACTGGCATCCATATATATATATATATATATGTGCTGAGTCATCCCCCCCAAAACCTAGGTTTCATTTTTTTTGGGGGGGGTACCATATATATACATATGTATGTCTATCTACATATGCGGTTTGGAATGCAAGGGAATGTGTGGAAGTACCCCCCCCCCCATGGACCCTGGCTTGGTGCGTTTGACTTGTATTTTCCAGTGTTTTATGCTTCTTTTTGCTTCTTGGATTTGTGTCAAAATTGGGGGGGTCATAAATGTATATGATACGCATCCATGCATACAGATGTGATAAAAGCAATGACATCAGCATCTGCAATCTGAAAGAGTTTGAATGCATCCAAGAATACAAGAACAACTCAGACATGTTTAACAACTTTTAAACATATGGGATTCAAGATTCAAGATTCAAGAATGTGAGAAATATTTTCTGGGAATCTTGAATCTTGAATCCCAGACTTTTTAAAAGTTGTTTAAATTTTATGGATTCAATATTCAAGATTCAATAATCTGAGAACATATTTTCTGGGAATCTTGAATCTTGAATATTGAATCCCATAATTTTTAAAAAGTCTTAACAATTCCAGGGTTGTCCCAATACTCTCGGTGTTCAATAAGATTCTCGGAAAAGTTTTCCGTGAAATATTTCAATCCAGTGGTAAAATATGTTCGAGGTGATAGAACAACTTGAACATTTTAGGGGTTGACCAGGATGGATGATTCTCAGGAAAGTGGTGGTTTGTGGGCTCCTCAATATTGAATCCCCAATCCAGTGGTACAAGTTTCAAGTGTTAGAAGAACTTGAATGTTATTTGGGTTTGGCCAGGATTGACAATTCTCAGGAAAGTTTTCTGTGTAATCTTCAATCTTGAATCTTCCATCCGATAGTAGCATATTTTCAAGTGCTCAGCGATCCAGTGGACACACTTTCAAGTTTGCTTTTGGTGAGCTTCATGTCAGCTATGCTCATGTTGACCCCTTTCCAGGAGGTAAACAAAGGCAGGTGTAACGCTCAAAAAAAACTGTATTTTCCAGTTTTTTTTTATGAGGAGGCGCAGGATCATTGGGGGTACTATATATGTGTGTATGTATGTGTATATATAGATATACTTATGTATGTACGTTCACACACCGTCCCCCACCCTCTTGAACTACCTGTCCACATTTGCTCATCTACTACCTCCACCTTTTGAGACAGAATTAGCTTTCCTGCGCAAATAGAACTTTAAATACAACGGTTTAGCTAGAATCCCTGTTTCGAGATAGTTTTAGATTTTGAACCTCTTCCCTTGAAATGTCCCCTTGGAACACCGTCTAGCAAGGTCAATGTCGGACCTTTCTTATGCTACAAAAGGGCCAGAATGTAAAATACACCAGCATAGACCCCAGATAGCAATAATTGCACACCACACCTCCAACAGCACCCCCCGAAGAGCGTCCCAAACAGCACCCGGCCGTCAATCGAGCACCCGCGCCATCACTAGCACCTCCAACAGCACCCCAAACAGCATCCCAAAACAGCACCTGCAGCAGCGCCCCAAACTGCATGCCCCCTGCACCCTGTCGTCAATCTCGCAAAAAGCACCCCAAACAGCACCCCCCCCAAACACCCAGCCGCACCCCAAACAGCATCCCAGAACGCCACCTGCACCAGCACCCCAAGCTGCGTGCTCCCTTGCACCCTACCGTCAAGATGCAAAAATGTGCCTGCGCCGTCACCTGCATGCCCGATAGCACCCGGGCGTCAAAATCGCAAATTGCGCCCGCGCCGTCACCAGCACCTCAACAGCATCCCAAAACACCCCAGCACCAGCACCCCAAACTGCATGCCCCCGTGCACCCTACCATCAAGATGCAAAAACTTGCGTGCACCGTCACCCCCCACCGTCAATCTTGAAAAGATGCGCCCGCACTGCCGTCAGCACCTCAAACAGCACCCCAATCCGCAAAAACCAGCACCCCAAACTGCAAGCCCCTTAGCACCAGCCCATCAATCTCGCAAATCACTTCCCCCTCTTTATTAGAAGTTAGAACCCCTATAGCTTTCAGCTATCTGGGGAATAACACAAATCGCATTTTGAAGTTCCTTGTAGAAGTCCCTTAAATGTTTAGCCATATGTAATATGAATTATATTTGAGATGTAGTCTCTATGCACTTGATATTATCAAAAGCAAATTGAGTTGTGTTCGTCTTAGACTATGTTTAACACTTGGATTGTATTTGGGAAAAAACTTCCATCTAACTTCTCTTGTGTTATAGATTAGTTGGAGTTTAGCCGAAAATATATATTTACATTTTCATGTAGCTGCTATGTGGAAAGGATTTGCTTGTTTAAGCTGTAATTGAACATAAACACGTTTTTGAAACAATATCCTTACTAAACTATATTCAAAATTCCAATTCTAGTTGCAGTAACATCTTGTTTGGAAAGGGTATCATACTGGGACATTGTGGAGGACTCCGGGCTCCAAATTATCACGCTTTGGGGACCCACAGTTGGACATTTCGAGAATAAAAAAAATAAAATTCTAGATTTGCCATCCCCAAAAGGCAGTAAAACCAGGATCCATGGGGGGGGAGGGTTGCATATATATATATATATATGCAACAGGCTATGCAATACGCACATCCATGTATAGATATGTTGCACGTGCGCCTGTGTTCGGCATGACCATGTATATATATATATATATACATATGAACATATATGGCAATGGGTCAAAATCCCATACCCCCAGTGAACATCCCAATCCAACCACTAAAATAGGTTCTAAAATGGGTGGTGAATTCACCTACCCCATGATACCATTGGTTTTGACAACCACGGCCATATATCTGGGTGAATTATAATATTTCACCAACCTGAAATAAGGTGGTTGGGGGGATATTCCCCACATAAACCACCATTTGGGGTGAATTCGGTCGTGTGAGGTCGTTATCATTCACCCATAATATATATATATATATATATATAATATATATATATATATGAAACGCGTATATGAACATGTATCACCACACAACTGCAGGGTGATCAGCCAAGGACCACTCCACACTTCAGCTCACAGCGCTACTTCGATGCCCGAAATGGGCCCAGTCCCAGTCCGCGGCCCTCAAAGACGTGCGCCCAAGACATGGATCTGCCAAAGCTGGGAAGATCCGAAGTCACAAAGTTGGCGAGGGCAAGCATTTGAGCACCCAACATGGGAAAATCAGCGCGAGTTTCCTGGTGTGGGAGATTGGGTGGGTTCCTCTACTGTGGAGGGTTGAAATCGAAATCCAGAACTCGCACCCAGCTTGAAACCGTGGTTGAAACCACTGGTTGTTGGTATTTACGTTGGTCTCTGAGGTGCGAAATGGATTTTGCAACCATCCACAGTAGCTCTCATGTGGAGATGAGTTTGGGTTAGCCTCCCAATTAACACGGAACCCGGCGTTCAGGACCCGGCTCCTAAGGAAAATGGTCCAAACCAGGACCATTGGAGCTAGCACCTTGCTTAGGAGGCCAAAAAATGACCGCTTGGTACATCCTCTTTGCACAACTTGGGGTTACACACCAAATACCATTTCCAAATTATGATTACCTCGTATCACCCTCCCACCAATTAACATGGAACCTGGCAGGGGTCCTGGAGATCGTTTTCCCTTTAAAGGGATCACCTGTAAGGTTCCATGTTAACTGGTGGGAGGGTAATATTCAGTCTAATCACCCCAAAATCGAAAGAAAGATGTCAGGAAGCCCCAGAGAAGGTACCAAAGGACCCTCAAGGATATACTGTGGGTGGACGAATACCTGCACCACCTAAGAAACCCTGGAATGGTGACTCCGCAGTAAATACCAATCAAATTTGTTTCCCATAATTAGTTTCAAAGTGGTGCAAGATTGCGTCCACCCACAGTATTATGCACTCCCCTCACATCCGAAATGCACGCCGGCGCGGCAATGTAGTCGCGGCTGGCACCGGTCAATCTGAAGGGGTTCAGCGCGCGGATGACTCCGAAGATCTCCTTGCGCGATACGTCCGTTCCCTGTATGTTGCAAGTGGGAATCAAAGGCTGGATGTATAGGTCCGTATATGAACCCCGGCTGAAGTCCCGAAGAAAAAACGACAACAAATGTTTGATAGATTCCCTTGAACACCAGTGGAGAAAAACATGTTCAGCAACTGGATGTGTTGTACTGGGTGCATTATAATAATTTCACCAGCCTGAAACTTGCAATGGTTGGGGGGCCATTCCCCACATGAACCACCGTTTGGGGTAAATTCGGTCGTGTGAGGTCGCAATAATTCCCTCAAATATATGAACCCCTGGTATGAACCCCTGGTTGATGGTCAACTAACCGTTGGTTATGGCTCAATTGTTGGAAATCTGTCCCCAAAGAGTCCGAACCGATGGGTTTAAATATGGACCTGTGTCAGCCTTAGGAAACCGGGAAACCAAAGGAACCAAAGGAGCCAGGAACCAATCAGCCTTTGACTTGTTTTTTGGAGCCATAGACCAATATGGTCTCTGAGCATTCACCAAGGTAAGCCCATTGGTTGTCCTTCCATTGGTTGGGCCCTCTGCTTCTATTTCATACTGTGGATGGACGAAATCCAATTCGCACCGCTTTGAAACCATAAGAAATCATTGCGGGTTGGCATTTACAGGCAAATTATTATTTTATGGTTTCTCAGGTGGTGCAGGATTTCGTCCCTCCACAGTATTTAAACTCCAACAGCGGGCACAGGTTTTGTTTGGGATTGGATGGCCCTGGCAGATTATGAAGCAAGGTCAAACAGAACCATCTGGTTTCGGCCAAAACGACCCAAACGGACACCTATGCTGATGACACGGAACAAACCTTGAAGTTGCTCAGCCACTCTTCCATGCACCATTTGGCTGTGGGTCAAAAATAGGTACCCAAAAACAGTGCACTCACCAGTGGTCCCCTGGTGGTTTAAATTTGACCCATGCCCATTTGTTTTATTACCGACCTGATGGTTGCGAGGGGCGAGAAACTTGAAACTCGCACCATCACTTTGCTGTGATCACGTTGGTGGCTCGTTTCTTTTATGGCAGCGCTTTCGGGGCTTGTTGAATGGGACACCAAATGGAAACTACCAATCTTAAGATACCACATAGACTCATAGACTTGCTTCATTGGATTCACCCCTGCCCCAACCAATGATGTTGTGGTTTCCACATTGAATCTTTTGGGGAAGTCGGAAGGCTTCTGGACACAAGGCATTTGACGTCCCGCTTGCGTTTGGCTGAAGCCCCACAAAAAAACCGGAAACAACAAGCCCCCTCCAAAAGAAGGAGAATTCAGCATTCAGCTTCCCTCCACTTGAAGATTTGGATTGGTCTAGTGGTTTGCAAAAAGGGACACCAGTCCAAGGAAGTCACAGGTCGTAAAGTTGGCGAGGGCAAGCATTTGAGCACCCAAGAGAACATGGGAAATCAGCGAGTTTCCTGGTGTGGGAGATTGAGTGGGTTCCTCTACTGTGGATGGACGAAATCCTGCACCGCTTTGAAACAATAAGAAACCATTGCTGGTTGGTATTTACACGCAAATTATCATTTCAGGGTTTCTCAGGTGGTGCAGGATTTTGTCCATCCGCAGTATGTCTCTCCCCGGACTGTAGACGGCTCGGACAAACCCTCAGCCCATCCCAAAGGCTCCACTGCAAGGATGCTCTGCACTTTGCCGCTATCATCCGGCCTGAGGACCCACACATAGGAACTCCGGCGACGCACGAGACCACGACGGGGCTTAACCAAACACAACCAGTTGAAGAAGAAGCTGACAAACAACCATGTAGCAGGACCCATGTCTTGCGACAACAGCACCGGCAATTCCGGTTCCAGAGAAAGCTGGCTCTGAAACAATATCCACCAACCCTGAAAAAGGAGTTGGGTCGGTCCTCAAAGGGTCATGCATCGCTAGCTTCACTTCCGAACGTTGATTGGCCCTTGTACCATGGTGATCTTTCCGTCTGCGACCAAGCAACCTGGGAAGGTTCCTACTCCAAATATCCTCTGTGTTTGCTTGATAAGTTTTGAAAAACTGGGGCAAGCCACGGTAAATACCGCCTTTTTCAGCCAGGGATCAGCACGGCACCCTTAAAAAAAAGGAGGGACCTCAACCAAATTCTGGAACCAACCAGTGAGTCCGTGCCCAAAACCCCCCCGAACCAAGACAAGCAGGGCTAAGCCTTCTTAAGTCCAATCAACATACTGTGGATGATTGCGAAATCCATTTCGCACCACTTGGAAACCATGGTTGAAACCTTTGTTTGCTGGTACTTACATGGACATCATCTAGAAACCAGGGCTTCTCAGGTGGTGCGAGTTCTGGATTTCGCAACCATCCACAGTATCAGCATACTTGGTTTCCCGTTACCAAAGGGTGGGTGCAGCATTTGATAACCAGGACTTTTGTGGGTTGTAACCAGGCTTTCTAACCACATACCTGACGTACTTGCTGCCCCGTTAAGTAGGCAAACAATGGTAGGTATCTGTGCGACGGCTTTTTGGAAATACGCTTTAATCATCACAGCCAGAAGCAAAGCGCACAAGGGGAACCACCCCACCTTACCACTGGAAGACCTGAAGATGTGCATTGTTCGTGCCCTGGACAAATAAAACAAAATCCAGTAGTGAACTCGATTCCCCTTAGAAATCACAGGGGAAAATCAAACATATTCATTTGGCTGTGGGTCCAACAAATGTACCAAAATGACACCTTGGCAAATGGATCCAAAGATTAAAACCTGCGCAATCCCAGTTATATTTAATTCTGAGCCACACCCATTTATGGAGGATCACACTGATAACACGCCTAAACAAAACCTCCCCTTGCCTTTTCCATCTGAAGACTTCAAGGCATAGAGTCAATCAGCTTCCCCTTTTGCTTGATCCGTTTTTCCGGCCACGGAAACCCTTGGTGAAAACGGGAGAGGACGGAACCTCTCGACCCCCCCAACCCCAAGCTTTCAGCCGCCGGGGAAAAAAGAAAAGAAAGAGCATACATAAAACCAAACAACATAACAGACATAAAATTAACAACACTGCCGGGGAAAATGAATGACTCGCTTGGAATTCTTGGCACGGAACTGTGGTGAAAACAAGCACAAACCTGGGCTGCCCGATTTCAGATCCCCGCTAAAAGTGGCTAACTTTTAGTGGGTGAAATTCGGAAACTACCAAGGAACCGGATGGCTGGGAACCACCAAGTACTGTGAAACATAGTTAGCTGCCAATTGTCTGGGCTCAGCTAAAAGTGACTCACTTTTAGTGGGTTAAACTCGGAAACTACCAAGAAACAGGTAACCGGTCAGGTTGGTTTGGATTGGTTTGGATTTGGATTCGTTTGGTTTGCACCTGGCTTTTGTAGAGGCTGAATGGGGTGTCCCACCCACCACCAATCAGCGGGAAGCTGAAACAAGCAAACAAACAAACAAACAGTCAATCAAACAAACAAACAAATCAAACAAAACAAACAACCAACCAAACAAAACAAACAAACAAAAAACAAACAAAACAAAAACACCAACAAAGCAACAACGCAACAAACAAACAAACAAACAAACAAACAAACAAACAAACAAACAAACAAACAAGCAAACAAACAAAACAAAAACACCAACAAAGCAACAAAGCAACAAAGCAACACAGCAACACAGCAACAAACAAACAAACAAACAAACAAACAAACAAACAAAACAAACAAAACAAAAACACCAACAAAGCAACAAAGCAACAAAGCAACAAAGCAACAAAGCAACACAGCAACAAACAAACAAACAAACTAAACAAAAACACCAACAAAGCAACAAAGCAACAAACCAACACAGCAACAAACAAACAAACAAACAAACAAAGAAACAAACAAAGAAACAAACAAAGAAACAAACAAACAAACAAACAAGCAAACACCAACAAACCAACAAACCAACCAACCAACAAAACAAACAAAACAAACAAAACAAACAAAACAAACAAAACAAACAAAACAAACAAAACCAAAAAAAAGGGAGGAAAACAAAAAACTTGGGGCCAGTGCCTGAGCAGCTCCAGGGTCTTGTACCGGGCGCATACAATCTCCTGCTTGCGTGCTCTGCTTGTCAGTCATACCGCTGGGAGGAATTTTTCCTTCAAGGACCGCTTACTAACGCATGCAGGGATCCCGAGAGCCAATTTCTCGCGTCGGGTCCAACCGTATGCTTTGCATGGGGACTCCGAGTGAGCATCCAAATGTGGGTGTTTGAGTTGAAGCTCTCCTTTTCACCTCGAAAACACACCTAGGTCCTCCAGAGAGAGAAGAGAAGGGCAACCTCCTTGAAGTAGATGGTGTATGTTTGGTTTCAGGAGACCTTTTGGTGGACATCATTTATGGATGGATGGATGGATGGATGGATGGATGGATGGATGGATGGATGGATGGATGGATGGATGGATGGATGGATGGATGGATGCATGCATGCATGCATGCATGCATGCATGCACGAGTGGGTGGGTGGGTGGGTGGGTGGGTGGGTGGGTGGGTGGGTGGATGGATGGATGGATGGATGGATGGAGGGACGCGAAATCCCTTTCTCGCACCACGAAATAAAACCATGGTTGAAACCATCCACAGTTGTGAGTGGGGTGCCATTGGGGATCATGAAGGGCCATACCCTTCTCATGGCTCCCCTTGTGCTGGTTCTGAAGCAAGATTGAATGCAACTTCAGGTGTGTGTTCATGCTTGCGGAAAATAACATTTGTTCTGTGATATCAAAGTGGGCTTCCCATCCCCCATGACAAAGCTTAGCTCAGAAAGTGGCACGAACTGAACCAGTTCCCACAAACATGCGTTTGCTTGTAACAATCCCAGAAGATCCAAGTGCCCTAGAGGATAGTGCGCTGGGTTTTTCGCAGGGTTGAAGTATCCTAGAGACTTGGGTGTTTGATTTTGTTGGCCCCCTTCCCTTTTGGTTTCCCTTTAAACCCACGCCAAAAGAGATAGCAACTCAAAAAAAACACATGCACTTGGTCCCTTCGAACCAACTAAGCCAAGGCGACCGCATTTTTTTTCCAAGGCTGCCGTCGATCCGCACCAAAAAACACAGCCACGGCCAAAAGAGCTTGATTGCCCAAGAGGGCATGGGACATGTAGTGAGCGATCTTCGTGCTTGTGTGAAACTTACTGTGTGAAGCAAGCAAGCAAGCAAGCCCGCACGCACGCAGCAAAAAAACAGGCAGGCAAGCAAACCAACCAAAGAAGCACTACCTATACCAAAAAAGCAAATCAAGAAAACAAAGCAAACAAAGTCGACAAACAAACACGGACACAAACGCACAAGGAAGCAAACAACAGAAAACACAAGCAAGCAAACAAACAATCAAGCGAAACAAACAACAACACAAAACGAACCAAACACGCAAAGCAAGCAAAACACACACAAGCACGTAGCACACACACACACACACATGCACCCACGCACGCACGCAGACGCACGCACACATCCACCCACCCACCCACGCACGCACGCAGGCACACGCACCCCCACCCACGCTTACACACAAACACACAAACAGACAAACACAGAAACAGACAAACAGACAAAGAGACAAACACACAAACAGACAAACAGACAAACAGACAAACACACAAAGAGACAAACAGACAAACAGACAAACAGACAAACAGACAAACAGACAAAAGACAAACAGACAAACAGACAAACAGACAAACAGACAAACAGACAAACAGACAAACAGACAAACAGACAAACAGACAAACAGACAAACAGACAAACAGACAAACAGACAAACAGACAAACAGACAACAGACAAACAGACAAAGAGACAAAGAGACAAACAGACAAACAGACAAACAGACAAAC